CTAGGTTATAACTTACAATACCAGAGTCATGTTTTCTTGTCTTTTGGATGCCACTAAATCACATTTTAGTATCATCAAAATACATTGAATTTTACACCGCTTACTGTACAGGCAAAAATTGTGAAAATAATTCCTTTTCAGTAGATACAAAATCTAACAGTAACCTACCCAAAAGGATGGATAATTTATATCGCTTCTTCCAACAAAAGAAGCAATAAAACTATGACTTATGAGAATAAGACTACATTGAGAAATTAAAAGAAATGAAACACTGGAAACCAATGAAAACAACCCTAAATATAGTCAGAGGAACACAAACCATATCAAGTTTACACTTCTACAGTTAAATAAATCTCGATAGATGTAAGGAATAAATACCTCAACAAAAAATTTCTTAATTAGAAAGTATAATGTTTTATAAAACAAATATATGACTCCAGCGCATCTAAGATATACAAATAAGCAATTTAAAGCAGATTAATAGGTTGTATCCAAATATAGGGAAATATTTTATCTAAAAACCTTAGGATTGCTGCCTAAGATGTTTCTCAAGTGAGATCTAATGAAACTTTCTCTTGGTATCTAACTTATCAAATTGAGATTCTTAAAGTATGTATTGCAGAAGTAGATTTCATTGTTTAATGATTTTTATCTTTCTTAAGTTCAGATATTGCTACATTTGTAGTTCTGGGGATATAAATACAAACCATGTTAACATCCTTTTGGTTTTGGACACCCACGTACGTTTTTCTTTGTTAAGGTAGAATGTGTTCATTCCCAAGTTGGTAGGTCTTCCTCCAAACAAGATCTTCTATAGAATAAAGTAACTTTGTCTTGTTTCTACGCCTTTTACAAAGCTAAGACCAACTGAATTAATAGTTACATGGCAAGAACAGATATGACCATAACAAATGGCAAAACCATTACTTTAAAATTGATTCCATTTTTAAATTTTATAGTAATAAAAAGAAGAGATAACATTACGACTCTTGTAAAGTTGTGCAAAACCAATAATGACTAATTCTACATTTGTTGGCTAATGGGATGGTACAGCCAAACATTTATCAAAATAAAAATGAGGTCCATATGCATACAAAATCAACTCTTTATCATAAGTATCATTAGAAACTATAGAGCCCCAAATGAACTCTTGAGGGTAAGGCTCTTAAAATAAAGAATAACATTTTAAGTGCACAGCTATTACAAACTCATTTGATATTCATTTTAATTGCCATGACTATAATGAATATACTTTGTATTCAAACAGATGTCACAAGTACTACTACAGAAGTTCCAATATAATTCAGTCTTAGTTAAGAATGAGTAAATGGATATTTAAAATTGAATGTTACCAGGAAGGAGGGGGAAACAAAAAAAACAATTACAGCAAACATTAGCTCCTTAAAGCAGCAAATTAAAGATTTTTATTAAATTGTGTTCTTTCTTATTTGGACATACACAGAACATGATCATACAGAAACACTTGCTATATCAACTACTCCTTTTCCTTGCTTCAGCTGTTCTACACAGTAGCTAATCTGGGAAACAGAAATTGGGAGTATGAAGGATGACTCAGAAGGGAAGGCTAAAATACACCGTATAACATTTAGAGACTGGTCTATGAAAAGGATTAATAAATACTACAATGCCAATGTAGGTTAGCTGAAGGAGCAGGTAATTATATATGCCATTTTCTTTTAATTGGCCAAATTCTAACATTCCCTTTAATCTTCTCCAACATGGAGAACTGAAATCTTAAAGCCTAACATGAGAGACCTTCACACTGTAAATTAAAGATGGTGTTTTATGGGGCACCTGGGTGGCTCAGTGGGTTAAGCCTCTGCCTTCAGCTCAGGTCATGATTTAAGGGTCCTGGGATTGAGCCCCGCATCAGGCTCTCTGCTCATCAGGGAGCCCGCTTTCCCCTCTCTCTCTGCCTGCCTCTCTGCCTACTTCTGATCTCTCTGAGTCAAATAAATAAATAAAATCTTAAAAAAAAAAAGATGGTGTTTCTTAGTGTTTGGATCACAGACCTACCCATGGATGGCTTTTTAAAAGCAAACATTCCTGGCCCCAACCAAGTTCTATCAAATGAAACTTCCAGGAGTATGGCCCTGGAATCAGCATTCTGACAAACCTAAACATTGGGATGCACACACTTGTTTAAAACAACTGCCTCAGGTAGGATGAAGTAATATTTAAAATTATGTACTTTCATTTTATTCCAATCAGCAAACATTTATTAAGTACTAATCTGTGAATGAAAATTATATACATATACATGTTCATACAGGCAAGCGGCATATGATAAACTTATTTTCAAAGTACCATCTATTAAGTGCAATAATCATCTACAAAGGTCTGGAAACACAATGTCTGGAATCACAAGAAAATAATCTGCTATTGTACAGATTAGCAATTAACTCATGATTCTAATTTAGTATTTATTTCCCCTGAAAAGGCGTCTGGAGATTGACAAGAAGTATGTTTATCTTATTAGTAGAAAATGTAACTGAAATACTGTTTAAAAAATTTATCCTGTTTTTCCTGATCTTTTAGAAACCCTCTGGTCTTGAAAAAGAGCGTCGTAAGTATGTGACGCCTCTTGGTGACTGCAGGGAGGAGACAGAGGGCACCCAAGACGTAAGAGGGAAGGAATGCAGAGCAAGACTAGGAGCACTAGAGGCAAACTCTTCTGCTTACCTCCAACCTAATTCTCCTCGTGCCCAAACTGTAAACTGAACTTGTTTAAAAGTCACATTGTGTTTCGTAACCACCACAGCAAAATTCAAAAAGCAAGAGTTGACTTTGGAGTCTATGAGAAGAATGGAAGAAAATAAAGTTGATGGTACCAAGTTATTTTTTTTTAAGATTTTATTTATTTATTTGAGAGAGAGAATTAGAGAGAGAGAGCATGAGAAGGGGCAGGGTCAGAGGGAGAAGCAGACTCCCCACTGAGTAGGGAGTCTGATGCGGGACTCAATCCCAGGACTCCAGGATCATGACCTGAGCTGAAGGCAGTCGCTTAACTAACTGAGCCACCCAGGCATCCCACCAAGTTATTTTTCTTGTCCGCAGTTTGCCCTCACCCTCATCCGCACCCCCATGACTGAAGACTAATTGACAGATCTTTGGAACACACCTCAATAACGAGCATTCACTCATGAAACTTGGTGCCGACAAGCCAATGGAAGTTGTTAATCGCACCCAGTGCCCGGTGTATATAATACACCCAGTGTCTTTTCTATTATCCTTTGCTGACTTTTCCCGGCATGGGAAACAGGATCCAGTCAAAATGCAATGCTGATGAGTGCAAGTGCAGGGGAGAACAGCTGGGTTGTAGGGACTTGGAAAGCTTCCCATGGCCCATGGCAGTGGTTTTCAAAGTCATTGCCTGGGAACTCATGTTATTAATTCATTCAGGCTGCTAGGGCAAAATACCACAGCTGTGGGGGGCTTATGCAACACACATTTGTGACATGGTTTTGGAGGCTGGAAGTCCAAGATCATGTTGCCAGCCATCTTGGTTTCTGGTGAGGGCTCTCGTCCTGGCTTGCACGTGGTCACCTTCTCACTGGGTCCTCACGTGGGAGAGACAAACAGCTCACTTTTTGTCTTTTTATTAGGCCACCAATCTCACCAGCTTTATGAACTCATTTAACCTTAATTACCTTCTAAAAAGCCCTATCTCCAGACTTTTGCTGACTCTCTTTCAACATCCTCAAATCGCTTTCTGCCTCTTAGCACCACCTCAGCACCCCAGCCATGATCACCTCCCTTTCCTCAAACAGCAGAAGCACTAATTGTCTGAACCAATCATGTCAACAATTTACAGATCCTACTTTCTTAGAGTCCATAGGTCACACTCATCTATAATTTCATCACAAGGCTTTGCACATTAAAAGAACACTCAAATCTTTAAAATATCATAGACAATGTTTTATACAATTCTTCTTTGTAAATATTCCACACCAGTATTGCCTCCAATCCAACACTGATTTAGGGGCAGCAAATAGTCCCTTGGTCTGTGATTAGCATGATGCCACTTCTCAAGTTGCCCAATATTAAAAATAATCAATACACTCCTTGCTATTAGTGAAATCCTTAAGGGCATCAAACCCTACAGTAAGCATTTAGTACGTGACTCTATGAAATGCTCACTCACTTTGCAGTAGGCATTATGATCCCTGTTTGAATGAAAAAGACACTGGCTCTTGAGGCTTAAGAGTCCCACTAACTCCACCGAAGTCACACCTGGAGAGCGGCAAGGCTGAAAAGTGTGAGCATTTGTTTTTCTGACTCGGAGCACATGCTTTGTTTCTACGTGCTCTGCTACGCTAGAGACCGAGGGATTTTATTCTCTGTCAACATCCTGAATCTGCTACCAAGAAACCCAAGGCATACGGATCTCTTGGAAAAGATATTTCTAGTGTATCCTTTGGAAACTCTTTATTTTCTACACCCCAAACACACACACACACACACACACACCCTGAGGCATCGCAAAAAGGAAGCCATCACGGAAAAAAAAAAAAATTAGGGCGAACTTGAGACAAGTAGATACTGTTAAATGACTATAGACAACCAAGAGCTCTAAATTTTATCGCCACTCTACACCTTATTTACCGGGGGCAGCCTTTAGAATGCTTTTGGCTTTACGTTAAAGACAGCTGAACTCCGTAGTTATGACTTGAAAGTTCACAAGAGGCTCTGATACACGTTCGCCCAAAGCAACGACGGATAATTCAGCATCAGACACACATACGTGCACCGAAACTGGAAAAATCTGTAAGCTGAAAACAATGGAATTTTCTTCTGAAAACTGTACTTTCTTAGTTTCATTCCCCAGAAAAACCAAGTGATGGTTTGCTGTTTTTCACAGCTGCCTGCACTTTGGAGACTGGACTATAAGATAATAAGTCGCACCTGTTGGACTGTTTCGGCAATTCTGAGCACCAGCTGAGACAGTACTTAAAAGTAACACTCCATGCTCAGCCTACCTGGGGTGTTCAACAACCTCGACATCTTGCAGAAATAGGAGACGTACTGCTCGCAATGCTCGGCGCTGCTGGTGACGGCGCTGATCTGGTCCATGGAGGCGCTGTACACGAGCTGTGTCACCGAGTACTTCTCTGGGCTGTAGCCCACCACGGTGGTCTGCATCTGCAAGTTGTGAGACACTATGGTCCACACTTTGTCCTCTGTGCAGAGAAAAATACCAGGAAATGGGTCATTAGTATGCACGTACTTCTTTGAGTGGAAGAAGACGATCGAGCCGCACTTTCCCTGAACTGGGGCAGTAGAACAGAGTTACGGATCTCCATCTTTTAGGCTCTGTCCTGCACGTTCTCCTTTATAGACAAAGCAGAAAGAAAGGCTTTTTATTAAGAACAAATGCAAGGGCTGCCTGGGTGGCTCCGTCTGTAGGTTAGGTGGCTGACTCTATGTCAGCTCCAGCCATGATCTCAGAGTGGTGAGATCGAGCCCGGCATCGGGCTCCATCCGGGGGGTGGCGTGGGGGGGGGGAGGCAGTCAGCTTCAGGATTCTCTCTCTCCCCTTCTCTTTAAAATAAATAAATCTTTAAATAAGAAAAAAATACTAAAAGCAAGATACCTCCTAAGCACAGGGAACAGCTCATGTCTCTGGCTGCTGCCAGCATTCACAGCATTGAAAGCAAGCTTCACCATGTTCCGACTCCCTTCCTGACTCCCCCTAACCCATCACTCTGGTGCAACAGCATCTGCTCTTTCTGAAATGGACTGTGCTCTCTCCAGCTTCCGAATCTTTGTGTATGCTGTTTGCTCTGATCAGAATATGCATCCTCCTCTTGTCAACAAATGTCCCTTTCACCGTGACCTTTCAGAGAAAATCGGACCCCGCCTTCTCTGTTACTGAAATGCTCTCTACGTGGGCAACAATACAAATGAGTAATTACCCTGATCCTTTGGACCCTGAAAATTTCAATGTGTGAAGAGGAAAAGCGAATATAAGATTGATGAGGTTAAATTACAACCCCACATACTCCTGAATTTGAATTAGAAACATCACGAGGAACCCATAATTTTTCTTTTTGAAAAAATGTAGACCTATGTCCTAGCTCCGTCCACTGGAAAAGGCCCCAAACAAGGACAACCTGTAGCATCGGACTGTCATCACTCAATATGATTTTTCGTTAAGAGAAACTGGGCTGTCAGGTGCAGTGACTGATTTCAGGGCTGGAAATGCACGAGATAAGCCTGGAACATAATGTCACACAAAAACAAATAAGCTATTGGCAACAGAGAGCAGTTCAAAAACCCCCAGGAACGAAGAAGGATGATTTTAACATCATTACGATTCTCCTGCGATGGAATAAAATACATCAGGGATGTTTAATTCTAGGAGTTCATTAAAATACAAAGAAATGTTCAATCTTGGAAAATGCCAACTAACTCGTTATTTTGAATATTAGGAAATAAGGACGAAGAAACCAGCATTAAGCCTACCTTACCTGTAGGAACCGTCACGTAACTAACGTTCTCTGTATGGAAATCTTTCAACTCATAAATGAGGACTAAGTGATGGGATTAGAGGACCATCATTTTGTAACTTCTAACAAGGAGGGGCCAAGCAATGGCTCTCCACAGCTGCTGATAGAACCATGAGTCAAACCAGAGGACATGCGCCTTGCAGTGGGAGGCTACAACACCGCCTGGGAAGCAGTGTGCACAAAATCAAAAGCGGATTTCACCGAACTTATGGCCCTGACTGCCACTTCGAGGAAACATGCACTGAAAATAGTGCATATTTGGGGGAGGGGACTACGCTAAATGACCCTAACAGGAAAGGTCAGCAGAATCCGTGCCATGTGAAATTCTACGAATTATACAATCTAGTTTTTTCAACAAATGTACAAATTACAAGGGAACAGAGAGCACGAGAGAGCGCTACAGATTAAAGGAGACTTTCTGAACTTGCCTCTCAAGCAGTTTTCCTTCTTTCAGGAAAGGACAGCTCTACTCTTCCAGCTGCTCCAGACAAAGCCATGGGGTCCCTACTACGTCCCCCCCTTTCTTCTACGTTCCTCATCCAACCCATCTGTGAATCCTGTCTGCTCTACCCTCTCCATGCAGAATCTGAGCACTCCTGACCTTCACCCTCCACCCCGAACCCCTGCTCTGGTCAAAGCCCCTACCTCCTCCTACGCCCATCGCACAAAACCTTGCAACCACCCACTGCATGCCCTGCTGCGCTCTCACACCTACCCTCCGCACACAGCCAAGCTGAGCCTCCGCAAACATAAGCCGAATTCGGATACTGTGCTCCAAGCCCTCTTGTGGCACAGGGTCTTGTTCCGAGTGAAAGTCTAGTTGTTGAAACAGCCGCAGGCCCTTTGTGATCCAGCCCCTCCTGCCCTCCTCACCTCCCCCTCGCTCCTCCTCCAGCTCCAGCCACACGGACCCCTGCCTTCCTCAGACTCCTCAGGCAGCCCCTCCTTGGAGCCTTGGCTCTCACTCTGCCTGGGAGATCTGCAGGCCCGCCCCTCCCCCTCCTGCTAGCTGCCCCAAAGCCGCCTTTCCCCCTGCGCGCCCCTCCCCACCGCAGCTGATTTCTGTCTCCTTGTCAGGCTCTGTTTCCCCCACAGTACTCATCTCTCTCTGAGTGCGTGTTTTCCTTCTGTCCGGCTCCCCAGGTTAGAGGGGGAGTAGGCAAGGACTGTTTTCAATGCTGGAGGCACGGTGCTTAGAACAGTATCCAGCATGTAACAGACCT